ATTCCTACTAAAATCGATGAAAACCCACGAGGGAGCTTTCTAGGGCGAACTTTGAGCCACATGCTCTCATAATCATCACACTGGTGTTGAGAAATTTGTTGTTGTTGAATATCGGACTTTACCCAGGCACAAATTCCACCTCCTAATCGCCCAACTCGGTCACATCGATAGATATTATAGTCTACCAACGTTACATAATCATCACTAATAGATTCACTTAACCAAGATTCAGTAATTGCAGTAATATCAATCGAATACACTTTCATGATTTCGTCAAGTTCTTCAATTTTACTCATAATAGATCTTGAATTTGAGCACAGAATGTTTGGGAAATCGTACCTGCCTCTTACATTTGAGTTAACTTTCCGCGGAATGCTTGTAAGAGCCCTAGGCCTTCGTTCCGTGTGATTGATTTTGTTTGCTGATCGCCATGTAATACGAACTGGGATTCTAGAGAGTTCTTGTTCAGCTTTCTTTCGTCTACCACCTCCCTTTCCTCTCTGGTGCTTGAAGATATTAAATGCTTTGAGCAGCGAAACAACATTACGGCTAACTTGTAAGGTCTTGGAATGAAGACGAATAAGTTCCGAACGCGAGAACTTATGATGTGAAGGCATACTTCATTTGGGTCGAATTGTTCGCAAACAAACGCACCACAGAAACTGAACATTGGTTTTAGCCAAACATACAGATCACACATCATCTTATCTTGATATAATTTCTATGATAACTAAGTCATTGCTGTTAAGATTTATATCTTTATCAGGAGAGATAGAAACACACAACCGGCAGCCATGACAGGCGCACTATAATTATCGTACTCGTTTATCAACGCGTTTACCCGTATGTCTTCCAGGAGGGGGACGCCTACCTATGTTCTCACAGACAATGGCACGAACTTTGTTGGTGCAGAATGTGAAATGCGAGAACTGATTGAAGCCCTCGACCACGATAAAATCATTCAAGGTACCAGCAAGCATCATCCCGTCGATTGGAAGTTTAATCCTCCATCTGCTTCTCATTTTGGCGGAGTCTTTGAGGCGATGATTAAAAGTGCGAAGAAAGCAATCAAAGCCATATTGGGAGATGCAGATATCACAGACGAGGAACTACACACAGCCATATGCGGAGCTGAACGACTGTTGAATTCCAGACCAATCACATACGTTAGCTCGGATCCCAACGGTCTCTCACCACTTACACCGAATCATTTCCTTGTTGGACAAATTGGAGGATCATTCGCCCCAGAAGCACTGGACCAAACAGAAGTGTACAATCCAAGAAAACGATGGTATCGCGTGCAACAACTGTTGCAACAATTCTGGAAACGATGGAGAAAAAAATTTCTTCCGCGTCTCAACGATAGGAGAAAATGGTTTCATCCAAGACACAATTTAAAGGAAGGAGACGTGGTGCGATGCAGAACCTAAGGACAACCGCGGAGAATGGCCTCTCGGTCGTGTAATGGAAACCTATCCTAGTGCAGACGGCCTTGTGCGAGCTGTGAAAGTGCCGTCAAAGAGCAAAGAGTATATTAGACCTGTGCATCGCTTGTGTCCCCTTGAGTATATCGAAGAACAGTCGGACAGTGACGACACTAGTGCATGATAGACAGTGATCAATAGTTACGATCACGACAACCTTATTGTATCCTATAGTTATATGCGCATACTTGATATTGAACAGACGTTCGCAGACTTAAACTATGTTCGTGCTAACTTTATTTCGAATGCATTGCATTCAGGAGGGGGATGTTAAGGAACGAAGCGTTCCCTGTAATATAACGTATTGAGACATATATAACCGCTGCGTTTGCGTAATGCAGGCGTCTTAGTGTTGATTTTAAGACAGCGTGTTTTGTATTTTTAAATCGGGATAAAATAAAGAGTTATTTGATAATTATATAGAGAATCAGCTTCGTTTAAAGACATTTAACGACCGTTCTAACAGACAAGAACAATACCATTCAGTTGTCACACATGTCCTTTACCACTTCTGTGACATGAGTTTGATAACGGCTTGTGAAATTTTCTGCAGTCTAAAGTTTCATATTGTCTGCACATGTAGTTTCTTTGGAGACATCATTTGTCGACTCCTGACAAATCGGAAAATATCAAGATAGTGATTCTGATAGATTCACATATTGTATTGACACATGATTGTTGACATTATATTGCTTTTTAGTCTTCAATATTTTAGTAAGTCATGCTTTGACAACATGTTTTTCTTACCCAACCCTTGAGTTGCTCTGTTTTTCATTTACCCAACCTTTTACTAACTCAAAATTTTGTTTACCCAACCTTTTTCTCTTCGGTGCCAACCCCCCATAAATAATGACCGCCCCTTAATAGCACGTTGGACAACTATTAAATAATTTTATTCCGTCTTAAAAACATATTTCTTATCGCAGTTAAAATAAAAACAGTATTTCTCATCGCAGTTCAAGTAAAAATGTAATACTGAAAGATAAAGGTGGCGTGTTGTATTTGTCTTAAAATGATCATGAGAACAAGTTTTACCTTGTAGAATGCTGAGTCCACGTTGTTTAATCTGCCAGAATGGTGGTGGTAACGAAGCTGTATCACATTTTTGTCTCGCTCCACTTAGTCGCTGTAACAAATACTGTTCTGGGCGTTGACAACACAATTCGTATGGCAGTTGGGAGACGACGGCGAGGAACTCAATGGATTGCGATGATTTGACCTCGCGTTCAATACAGTCGTGTTCAATACACCACCGGCGTTGCCGTGTTTGAAGCTGGGCCATGACTGATTCAGCGTCTCCACAGCTTCGGGTTGGCGTTACAGAAAGTTTACTTTGTTGTGAAAGCAATCACTTCTTCGTTGTATTCGACGCCACCAGGCAAAGAATTTATGGACAGGATAGATTCTTCGTAGATTTCATAATTGTTCTCGCATAGTAGAACAGCGGAACAGCTGCATTGTGGTTGGCCTTCATCTAAAAGGGAATTAAATAATTGTTAAGAGTATACATGTTTAGGATGAACAAGATAAATAATTTCTCTTCAAAACGTTGTTCACCTACCAAACAAGAATTTAGCTCTTAGAGAATTTTTCTAGGAAGAGCTTCCGAAATTACTTCTGCAAACTAGCGCAGCGACAACCAGTATGACCGCACCTCTACACGTGTCATTATTTTATGCGACAATAATTGAATATGCATTACACAACAAAATGTTCGACAAAGCAGAAAATCTTCCTAATTGCACTTTAGTTGCTCAGTTCCAGCTTTGTGTTTGCTTCACAGTCAATATCATATAATATAGCAAACGCGATGCAGGCATAATATACCTCATTATCTATGTTTTTGACTTGGTTTGTGCAAGAAATGATCGATTCATCGTCACGCGTGTATTGTTTTTTTTCACCCAACCAACAAATAGCAGTGTGCTGGTTTAATTACGCAGTCGCGATATTGCACAATGGTTGAAATACAAACTACGTACAACAGCTTTTGTACATGATCTGCATAATAAATATTAAGAAAGTGTCCCTTTATACCTCCCCACTGCATGTTCGTCTGTTGCTAGATTGCAGCTGGGATCGTCTACAATAAAACAGAGAGAATGCTGTCTAACAAAGTTTACCAAGATTCCGGAAATGAAATATCATTTTCATGTTCAAACAATGGGTAATCAGATGAAATCCTCATTATCTATTGTTTCTAATGCGTTTGGCACATGAGAAGCACGACGTTTGAAACAGACGTAAATTATAATCAAAATCAAAGGACACTTTTGTGATTTAGTGATATGCATAAAATTTACTTTTGTCAAGCTTTTGCGCACTTGTGGCACTTATAAACTTGTGGCGTACTTGTGCCGAGGCATTTAAATTTTAACAAGACGTTGTTTCAATAGTTTTGTGCTGAATGGTTATATATTACTACCTTAAAAAATAAGCAGAAACTCGACGTTTCGGCACAGCATTTTCACATTGGTACTACCCACACTGATACAGACAGTTTTAGTTTCATTAGTTTTGGGTTTTTTGGGACACCCTGTATTAACGACCACTGTATTATTATTGGAATGCATACTAACTATGTTTTAATTGGACATGTATGAGAAAGTAAAATGGATGAGTGCAATCAGAATAAGGAGAACATATTCTAAAAGATTTGGAAAGAATTATGTGCCAAAGGCCCCTCCCAGCTCCTATGGTGGCCCCCACACAAATATTTGCTCCAACCCCAGGTCAAAGTTCTTTTCGCTAAGATGTAAGCAACACTTTAGAACAAAAATGGAATTTAGAAGGGAAGTTGATATTCTAGTAACTGAAATTTGCTTTGTGGATTTTTTATCTTTAAATGATTTAACATGCATGGTCCCTTTTTGTAGATGCCCCCTCCCTTCACTTATGAATTCTTAAAAATGGCTCTGGAAAGAATCCTGCAATAGAAAATAAGTTGGAGAACTGTGGCAGCAAAACTTGGGAAAAGATCACTAAAGTGTTATTGCACCAAGAAAACAGAGGAAATGAGAAGTAAATATCCCTTGATTGTGCTCCTAAAATCCTAATATAAAATGTCAAAAAAAAGTTGTTAAAATTTTTCCAAAAATTTAAAAAGCTGCTATCTTGAAACTTCAAGTTGTTCTTACTTGTTATGTAAATTTTATGATATTTTCTCAGATAATGAATTTCCATTTCCTACTTTAAAGTGCCTATGACATGAAATTTCATCCCAAATGTTTATGATTGCATTGTAAAGATCATTTAACATGATTTAATAATTTCTTTTATAGAATTTTGGTAACTTGCTTCCTTTACAAGATATTCAACTTTGTTTCATTTAACAAATATAAAACATTTTCCGTGTTGATAGACAGTTATATCAACACGAGTGGAATTGTATGGAGTTTTCCCAACTTCCATGAGTGTTGATATAACCATATATCAATACGGAAAAAATGTTTTATATATTTTTTATAATATAGCAATGTCAAAAGCCCGAAGGATAAGAAAAATTTCCGTGTTTACAAGCGGCGCAAAATTTCCCGTGTTGACATTGAGTCATATCAACACGGCTCTTAGCCAATCAGCGCTCAGAATTTACAAATGCTATATTATAAATGCAAATATCACCGGTCATAATGACATTTTGAAAACGCAATATTTTACCTTGATAAAATATTTTTACAAACAAATACAGAGGGTTAATTACCAGTTATGACATTAATACATATAGAAGGGCAATTTTTAAGTTTTTTAGATACGTATTCGTCAAGAAAACTATACTTTTCTGAAAACTCATTATGCGATGTGATGTCACACCGGTGATATTTGCATATGAAACAATGTTGAATATCTTGAAAAGGGAGCAAGTTACCAAAATTCTATAAAAGAAATTATTAAGTCATTTTAAGTGATCTTTACAATGCAACCATAAACCTTTGGGGTGAAATTTCGTGTCATAGGCACTTTAACAATAATTTATAATTTCTTCAAATTTAACATGATAGGGGCCGGCCGCGGAAGGGTGTTGAAAGGGAAATCTTGGGTATTTTGTAAAAATGAAAGTTGGAAATCCTGGAATTCGGGGGGAGGGGAGAGTTTATGTAGTTTCTGCTAAACTTTTTACCAATCCCAGGATTCAG